CCGGGGCGCGGGCTAGGGGTCGACGGGGCCGGGCGCGCGGGCTAGGGGTTGATGGGGCCGGGGCGCGGGCTATGGGTCGACGGGCCGGGCGCTAGGGCTAGGGGCCGACGGGGCCGGGGCGCGGGCTAGGGTCGACGGGCCGGAGCGCGGGCTAGGTGTCGACGGGCCGGGGCGCGCGGGCTAGAGGACGACGGGCCGGGGCGCGCGGGCTAGGGGCAAGGGGCCGGGACGGCGGGCCTAGGGGCGCTCTGGCTAGGGCCTACGGGCCGGTCTAGGAGCGACGGGCCTAGGGGCGACGGGCCAAGGGGCGACACGAGGGTCGCTAGGAGCAGTGCAGTGGTGGCCCCAAGGAAAAAAAACGGTCCTAGCGGAGGACCTGCTCTGAAACCATGTCAAGAGAATGAACGAGAATGATTGAACTATGAAACAGCTGGGTACAAGTACTAACCCTAATTGGGTTGTACCCCTTATGGGCTACCGCACTATAGCCTACACAATACCGTATACTCCCGGACAAAACACCCCCCCATAATTGTACACCCCCGGGTAGCTTGTGCGGGGTGGGTATTATGGGGAGCCTCGTTTCTACTATACCCACCTTTTTGCCTGATTCTCTATAAGACCCGGGGGGGGGGGGGGGGTTATGGGCCGCAAAAATACTGAATTTGCTTACTGTACATTGCATACAGGGTACTTTACAGGTACTACAGAAGTAATGTGCCAGCACATAGTCACCGACAATGTCACCTAGACTGCAGAAACATCACCACAAGAGCACCTCACATCCACAATTTCACCTAAAAAAACTCTACACAAAGTGCCTTCTACTCAGAATCGTCTCCTGCATGCCATTCTTCACAGTCTTCCCCGTCAAAGCGGCCAGGGCGCCACCATTCGTCATCGCTGGGCTCTTCTGCCTCCCCGCCTTCCTCAAGCACGCCCCCCTCCTCCTCTGCCGCCGCCGCTTCCGCGTCCTCCTCAGCGGCATCAGCCTCCTCTGCCGCCGCCTGCAGCTCCTCGGCCGGCATGGGGACTTCGGCGTAGAAGGGGTTGACGACGAGCTCGTCGTCAACCAGGTCGTTGACGTCGTCAAGGACTTCCACCTCACCCTTGTCCCGCATGTGAGCAAGGATGAGGTGGTCCTCGCTGCCATTGATGGGGGTGGAGATCCCACACGTGACGAACGCCTTCTTCACGAGCTCCTGTGGGATTGCTTCCCAGGACTCATCGATCCAGCGGAGCACCAAATCCGCTGGCGGCTTCTTGAGATTGCCTGAGGGACGGGGAAGGGTAGAGAAGGACAAATGTGAATTTCCATAGCGTAAGCCGACATTGATTCAAAGTTACACATGCGGATGTCATGGTTCAACTCACCGGACTTGGTGGTGGTGTTGATGCCCTCTTCTTCGAACCAGCCACTGTAGCGATGACGCACACCGCACTTGAACGCGCGGTTGATCGACACATCCAGAGGCTGCACTAGCGGAGTGCAGCCCCCTGGGATGACAGCCCGTGACAGCCAAAACATCCGCATGGTCTGCCCGACCGCCTCTGTCAAGTGGCCGCGGTAGGAGTCGAGCACAACCAAGGCCTCCCTGCGGTGTCCAGTTGATTCACGCAAGGGCTTCAGAAACGGCACCATCACCTGGGTGATCCAGTCCTGCACAAGTGATTCGTCCATCCACCCTTTGTCTTGTGCACGGACCACAACACCTGCCAAAGAATACCGGTACGTCAGGGTCAAATTCGGTTGCGACTGTTGACAGGCTAGAGTAGTGACATCATCCTAAACGTGCTACACTTACCGGCAGGGATGGGCACCTTCGGTATGGTCTTGCGCTTGAACACCACGTACGGCGGCAGCTTGAGCCCGCTCGCAGTTACTGCCAGCATGACAGTAACACGCTCCTTCTCATAGCCCGCACTCCGTACGTGTACCGTCCGCGCTCCCTTCATTTCGAGCGTGCGCTCCGCCGGCATCTCCAGGAAAAGCGGGGTTTGGTCCGCGTTCAAGATGAGGTCAAGCGGGTAGTCGTGGAAACAGGCCGCTGTCGCCTATCTACCGTACTGCTAGAATCTGGAGATGAAGCCATGCTTGGGAACTAAGGCAGGTCGATGTCACTCGCCATGGGAGAAATGACTTTAAAGATGATACCCTCGTGCACATGAAGGAGACGCTCTCACAGCCTGCCAAGCACTTGTCAAAGACGTGCACTGGAACCGCTTGACGAAGAGAAGAGCAAGCTTGGGTGAGGAAGCTTGGACGTGACTACCGTACACGGCAGTCAAGGGGTCACAGGTACAGTGACAACACAGCACCGTGCGCGATTCCGGCCTCGTACTGCATGAACCCAAGTTGCGCGAGGTTGGCACTGATGTCAACCAATCAGGTGGCACAGTGGGCCCACTGGAATTTGCCATGTGGCAGATTCCAGTGGAGGCCGACGTTATCCTCGTAGACTCGGTTTGGCGGCCCTGATAAAAAAAATAATAATAAGGCCAGACCCCTGTTTTTGTTTCCATTAATTTCTGCTTATAAAAAAATGTGCAATATAATAAGACCCGGGTATTATGTATTTTTTCCTATGAGGAGACCCCCCCCATTTTTTCCCTGTATTTTTAGCTATACCCTAGGGTGTTATGTCCGGGAGAATACGGTATAAGCTATACAATATTTTGACAATTATATAAGCGCCGGCACTTATAGAAATCCTCGATTATAAGCGCATCCCCTAAAAAACAGTGTTTTTTTATATCCCCAGGGGCGCTTCTATCCGGGGGCTGACGGTACATAGAAATGGCTGAATCCTTATCTTATAATTGCATAATGTGAAAAGTGAGTTTTTGAATGTATCAGTATCCGTTATCTTCTCTCATTTGCAGTCCCATCTCCGCACCACTCTTGCCATGCCAATTTGCATACTGTAATGCGGTGAGTACACCTGCTGTAACCACTTGTGCTTGGGGTTTGCTTGGAATCGCATTCGCTTTCAGCCGAGCCGCGAGTCTCGAACAGAAGGAACAGTAATGTTCTGGAAGGCGGGAGAAAGGCTGCAAAGCCAATTTACAGAATGCCACAGCGAAGCGATGCTGACGAAAAGCCATCGCTGCGAAAAGCCATTGTTGCGAAGAGCCATCCCCGTGCCTCTAAAGGAGCAGCCGATCACTGGGAACGCAACCACGCCAGCAATTAGACTGCACTGAATATCTCCTATCCGTTGAGCCGCCATCCTCGTCTCATTGCTGACCAGTAGAGTTTGTGATAACACCCGGCGCTGTGGTCAGACTCTTGTGAACGTCGGACGGATATCATAGCTATAGCGCCTGACCGCCATTCGCCCTCCGACAATAGTGCACCATCGTGTGAGATAGGCATGGGTACTATTCGACAACCTGCAACGCTCACAGTGGTCGTTTCGTTAGCTCTTGTGGCCGCCATTCTCGCGACACCAGCAGGGGCTCACAACTTCTGCTTCTACGAGTGCTCTGTCTTCGCCAACGCGCCCTCGGACTGCCTTCGCACGTGGTACATCTACAGCGAAACAGACTTCTGCGACTCCGATCACAAATTCGACAGCGTGTTGCGAGTCACAGACCTCGACGGGTTACCGTCCTTCGCTAACTCCTCAGCGTGCGAAGGATTGAGCAGCGCGCAGGTCTACGGTCAATTGGTCAACACCACGCAGCACGGAGATGGAACCCTGGAGGTGCTCGGCGAGAAGGACTATAACGAGGCAGCATACGACGAGTACGTGGGGTGGATGGGCGCGGGGCGAGAGCAGTCCAAGTGCATCAAGTGGTCGCCCGCCGCGGAGACGTACGGCAGCTGGGTGAGCGACGACGCAGGCGTGCCGGTGTACCTGTCGTGCTGGGAGCGCCTCTCGTGCTCCAACGCCTTCGGCTTCGATGTCTCCGCCGCCGACGGGGACGCCGCGCCCCCACAGTCGCCGCAGAAGATGCTGCGCGGAAGAGGAAAGACGGACGGCAAGGCTGCCGTCGGATAGACGCGCAGTGGCCCATGAAGCGATGCGGCAAGGAGGCAGCTGAACAGTCGGTGGCCGCCGCAGTGCCTTCCGCGCCAGCTGGCAGTGAGGCCGCGAGGAATCGCGTGGGTGCTGCCCAGGCGAGCGCTCGGGGCTCGGGGCTCGTACAGCGACGTCGAGTGCACACATGAACTGCGCCAGTGCTCGATTGGGCGTGGCTATTGTCAAATAGTTTATGAAAAATATGTAGTATAATAAGGTACGGGTGAAAAACGGACCTGCTCTAAAAAACGGACATGCTCTAAAAGACGGACATGCTCTAAAAAACGGACATGCTCTAAAAAACGGACAAGCTCTAAAAAACGGACATGTTCTAAAAAACGGACATGCTCTAAAAAACGGACATGCTCTAAAAAACGGGAGCCATGATAATGTAGTGCTGCTTGTGAAAAACAGACAGCTCTAAAAAAACGGGAGCCTCTACTACATGTTTCAGGTGACCGTGGGATCCTAAATCTAGCGAGCCAGCACTTCTCAAGCTTGCTAAAAATATTCCATTCAGACCATAATTTCTTCCCTGGACTACACTGACACATTAGTAATACCATGTATTCCACCTTAGGGCCGCATCTCAGCCCAACAAGAACCATCAATACAACTTAAATGCAATCCCACCTGAGGGGAGGAATCTGCTGACAGCTGGCAGGGCTGGCTAGCTCACGGTGGAAGGAGGGAGAAATGGCGCACAGTGCATGGATGTGACAGCAACACACGCTGTGACTGCCTCATGGTGAAGAAGTGGCTCGTGCACTGTCCTTCTCCAATGCACCACAGCCCACGTTAGCACCAGCTTGCTTGGGTCTTGGAGAAGCATGTTTCGGATGCTTGAGTTGGGAGTATATATCGCAGCGCACGCACTTGAGGGGATTTGGAGAGGCCACACAGCAGCCATCCACCCGGAGGCATGTCCAGGTTGAAAGAGCTTAAAGCAGCCAGGGGGGCGAAGCAGCATCCCAGTCATCGCAGAGGTCGTGAAATAACAAAGCGACTTGCACCCCCAGCAGCCCCGTTGAGGCGTGGCACGGGAGTCACGCTGGGCGAGCACGAGAGGAGGGTGGCGGCGGTGCTGGCAGGTGCGCGGTGGGCATGCGGGGGAAGTCGGGCGCCACCTCCATGTGCTGCTCCGGCTGCCATGCCATGCGCCATGGGGTCGTGCATGGTGGCAACATGGCAGTGATGGGGATGATGGGGGTGATGCACTCATGGTGGACATGGCGCGCGGAGAGGTTGGGTGGGAGCGAGGGGAGGGTGGGAGCGAGGGGAGGGTGGGAACGAGGGGAGGGTGGGAGCGAGGGGAGGGTGGGAGCGAGGGGAGGGTGGGAGCGAGAGGAGGGTGGGAGCGAGAGGAGGGTGGGAGCGAGGGGAGGGTGGGAGCGAGAGGAGGGTGGGAGCGAGGGGAGGGTGGGAGCGAGAGGAGGGTGGGAGCGAGGGGAGGGTGGGAGCGAGAGGAGGGTGGGAGCGAGGGGAGTACCTGCAGGAGGGCGAGGAGGGCGGCGAGCAGCGAGTTGAGCAGCACGATGAGGCAGAACACCTTGCCCGCCACCACCCCACACGCGTAGTACCTGCCGTGTGTGCGGGGCATGCCATGGCGGCACCATGTGAGGGCAGCACGAATGCAAGCTGGTATTCGCAGCGTCCCGCGGAATGCAGTCATCAAGGACTGCAGCGAGCGTGCGGTGGGAGCGTGCGGTGTGGGGGAAAGCACGGACAGCGGAGCTGTCTCAGGGGTGACGGCAAGGCAAGGGGCGGTGTGGAGGCGCACCTGGAGAGGCGGGTGGGCAGGTCGTCGAGTGGCATGGCCATGACGCGGTCGTAGACGCGCTCCGTGCGCTCCGCCACGTCGTGCCAGCTGTACATGCGCGACACCTGCCCGCCCCCAGGGCACACATAGGATATGCGTATGGTGGGGGGCAGCGGGGCGGGTGGCAGAGGGGTGGGGGGCAGCAATGGCAGGTGCATGTGGGAGGGGCGTTGGGAGGGAAGGGATGAGTATGTGCACGTAGGTGCGTTGCGGTGAACATGCAGTTGTGTGTGCCATGCGGTATGACAGCAGAGAGAGGGGTGGTGAGGGGGATGAATACGTGGGCGGGACACATGGTGTGGTGGTGACATGTGTTAGATTACCATCCTCATTTGTAACCTGCATCTATCCAAAAAGCTTCGGCTAGAGATAGACACCCAAATGTAGTTTGGGTGTAGAACTAGGGCTAACCCTAGTTGGGGGTTGGAACTCAACACTTGGCCCAATTACTTGGCCCCCAAGGTTGAGTTGGGAAATATTGCCCCCCCCAATAATGTTGAACCACTTTGGTCAACATTATTGGTCCCCCCTCAACTCAACTTATTGGTGGGGGCCAATAGTGTTGGCTAGGTTCGAACCAAACCCCCATCCTAGCACACCTCTGTATACCCACGTTCTTTCCTCATCAATCGTCGGTTCTTCTTCACGTTTTCTCACAACATGACGACGAGGGCTGCTTGCATCGGGATAACGCAGTCTAGCAGTGTGGGACAAGGGAGGCGGCAATTGTGCAAGTGAGCTGGCAGGTGGTGCCATGGGAGAGAGGAAGGAAGTGAATTGACTGCAGCGCGCGACACGGTTGCTGTGAGGTGAGTGCACACACACCCGCTCGTGCATGGCCTGGGGGTTGACACGTGGCACGATCTGAATGGCGTGTGCGATGGCGTCCACGATGTCAGGCGGGTTGGGGTCCGCCAGCAGCATCATGTCCGGTGGCAGCACCTGGGGGGGGGAGAGGGGGGAGGACAGGGGGAACGGGCGGAGGGAGGAGGGAGGAGGGGGTTGCGGACGTTGGGGCATGGGGACGCCAGCAGGCGGGTTGGGGTCGGGCAGCAGCATCATGTGTGTTTTGCGTCATAACATAAGAGGTAAGCTCACCGCACCTCACCTCACCGCACCTCCCCTCACCCCACCTCACCTCACCTCACCTCACCTCGCCTCACCTCACCTCGCCTCACCTCACCTCACCTTGCCTCACCTCACTTCACCGCACCTCACCCCACCTCCGGCACGCCCCCACCCCACCTCCGGCACGCCCCCACCCCACCTCCGGCACGCCCCCAACACGGGTGGCGACAACGAAGAGGCCGCAGCAGGCAGCCTCGAGGATGGCGATGCAGAAGGCCTCCGTGAGCGAGCTGGGGGGGGGGGAGGGGTGAGGGTATGGGGCGGGCAGGTGGGGAGTGAGAGGGGCAGGGTGGGTACGAAAGGGCGAGGGGTGAGGCACGACATGCAGCGTTGAGCAGCGTGCGTGCTTTGAGAGGGATGGATGGGCAAGGGGGAGGTCGGAGGTTGAGAAAAGAGTGGAGATGAGGGGAGAGGAGAGGGAAGTGAGTGGGCAAAGTGAGGCACACATGCAGAGGGCGAGATAGGGGCGGTGCAGAGGGCGAGATAGGGGCGGTGCAGAGGGCTGTGAGGAGAGAGGTGGGTGATAGGTGACAGCGGCGAGATGAGAAGAGCAGTGATAACAACGAAGAGCGAGAGGAAAACCAGATTGGTGCTGGATTGAAAAGTACGAGAACAATGCAGAAGCGATGTGGTGCAACTGGGATGTGCATTGAGGGCGTGGGCTTTTCGAGGGGGGCGCGGGGCTGACATGCAACTTCTTGTCATCAGCAGCTGCGAGCACAGCATGAGGACGAGCGAGCGTAAGGGGCGATGAGGGGGAAGGGGAGGGAGGGGAGGGAGGGGAGGGAGGGGAGGGAGGGGAGGGAGGGGAGGGAGGGGAGGGAGGGGAGGGAGGGGAGGGAGGGGAGGGAGGGGAGGGAGGGGAGGGAGGGGAGGGAGGGGAGGGAGGGGAGGGAGGGGAGGGAGGAGCGGGCACCTGTTGAGGAAGATGTGGCCCTGCACGAGCACGTGGCGCACTTGGCTGTGCGGCACGGCGCCCAGCATGGTGACTCGGTGGTGCAGCCCGTGGCGGTCCCTCATCTCCTCCAACCGCCCCCTCTTCGCGCCGTCGCCACCTATTATCCACCGCACCTGGTGTGGTGGTGTGGTGGTGTGGTGGTGTGGTGGTGTGGTGCATGGTGGCATGCATGGGGCATGCGCGGGCAGGCCACAATGCCACATTGCACGCATGGACACAGGCAGTGCGCACAACAACACACACCACACATACACTCACGCACGTGCACACACATCGCTCACAGGCACAAAGACACTGTTTAGGAAAGCATGCCGGAGAGAGTTGATGCGAGTGGGCCGTCATGCACAGAGGCGAGCACGAGCATGGCAAGCAGCAGGTACGCCACGCCATGACAGCAGCAGCGCGCACAGGCGCAGGCACCTTGGGGAAGCGGGTGCAGACGGCGGGGATGACATCTACGAGCAGGTCAGCGCCCTTGCGGTACACGAGGCGGCTGATCACCACTATCACCACCTCCATCTCCGACCCTTCCCCCACCCTCTCCGTACCACCCCCCATGCTCGCCGCCATGCCCCCCTCCCCCCTCGCCTCCACCCCGCCCTCCGTGCTGCCTCCCACGTCCTGCCCTGACTGCTCTACCATGCCGCTGTGCCCTCCTGCTCCTGCCGCCCCCACCCTTCCTGCCACCTCCGCTGCTGCCGGGTGTGCTGAGGACGCTACTATGCATGCTGCTGCTGTCCCTGCCTCCCCCCCCTCTCTGCCCCTCGATCCTTCCCTTGCCCCTCCCTCCCTGTCTGACTCCTCCCCTCTCCCCCCAGCTTCCACTGCCTCTCTCTGCCCCACTGCCCCCCCTGCCTCCACGTCACCTGCACATGCTGCTGCGCCACCGCCTGCAGCCCTGCATGGCGCGGCGCTCCCCCGATACTCCACACCCCTTTCTCCATCCTCCCGCGCTGCTCGCTCTCCTGCCCCCCCGTTGCGCACACCAGCACTGGCAGCAGCAGCAGCTTCCCCAGTAGCAGCGGGGGCAGCGGGGGGCTTTGGGCAGTGGAGGGGGTCGGGGAGGAAGTTGTTGGCGTCGACGGCGTTGGGGATGACGGCCACGCGGTGGGGCGGCAGCGAGGGCTGCGCGCGCAGCACCGTGTTCTCCTTGCTCGTGTGCGACACACAGATGGCCGCGTGGATGCCGGCTGTTGAGAACTGCAGCAGCTGTGGGGGGGAGGCAGGGGAGGAGGAGGAGCAAGGGGGCAGGGGTGGGGAAAGGGGAGGGGAGGATAGGAGGAGAGAGAAAGGCAGGAGGCAGAAGAGGAGGTGGTGAAGTGCAGAGCGTGAGTGCAACTTCAACCTCCATCGACCAGGGAGCAGGCGCAGCTGCCACCACGCTGCTGCAGCACCACATGGCATGGCATGCTCCTTGTGCATCTCACCCGCCATGCACGCACCCAACCACCCACCCATGCATGCACCCGCCCCTCCCCCCCCCTGTTCCCACCTTGTTCATGTGGATGCTGGCGGCGTCAGCGAAGCCGCACAGCGAGTGGTCGGTGAAGACGGCGCGGCGGGCGAGCGTGGGGGCGTGCAGCAGCGCGTCGTGGCACATGGGGGCGAAGCTCTGGTGAGCGTGCACGATGGCTATGCGCTCGCGCTCCACAATGGCGCGGAACAAAGGCAGCGACAGACACGGCAGCGGCGACGGGGGTGTCGCCTGCCGTGAGATTGGGGGGGGGGGGGGAGGGGGGGAAGGGAAGGGGAAGGGGGGGGAAAAGGGGGTACGGTGGGTAGATGGGGGCATGGCATGGAATGGGATTGTAGAAGCGTTCTGTGGTGGGTGTGCAGGAGAGGCGTGCTCTATCCTATGATCACATGAGTGAGGAGAGACAGGCAGCCGAGGTGAGCTGAAGCACATGGGACCACGAGCAAAGACCGACAGTCTAAAAGCGAATGGTCCAATCCGGTGGGAAGGCGAAGGGTGGATGGTGGATGGGGAGGGATAAGGGGCAAGTGACGTCATCTCCTCAATGTGCATGCAAGTCCAACACCCACCTGCAGCCACACGGGGCGGCGCGGCGCGTAGTAGACCTTGAGGCCGTTGGTGAGGTAGCGCACTCCCACTCGGTCGCCGTACGCGTGAGTCAGCACCACCACCTGCAGCACGGCAGGGCAGGGCGCGCGGGGTTTGGGGGACGTGGGCAAGCCCGTGTGAGACGACCTCATCCAACTCCGTCCCCCCACGTGCACCTCTCACTATCGCGCCTCAAAGCAACCTCCTTCCTGTCCGCGCCCGAAAGGGACACCCTCCCCTTGACTCACATCACGCGCTACGCCCGCCATCCCTCCCACCCACTCGCTACCCGCGATGCTGCCACGTAAGACTCGAGACCTAACGGCTGTGTCATCTGGCCGCCTCGCCATGTCACCTTGTGGCCGCGCTGCAGCAGGCACTGCGCGAGCAGGTAGATGTGGCTCTCCACGCCGCCGAAGTTGGGGAAGAAGAAGTCGCACACCATCAGCACGCGATGTCGCCTGCGACCGCATGCGACATTCGGTTCGTCGTCAGAGACTAATGGTGCGCTGCTATCACTCACGAAACTGCTCTCCGCCATTCGCCTTAGCGACTAATTCCGCCTACGACGCGCGACTGGTTTCGCCTACGACTCGCGACTGGTTTCGCCTACGACTCGCGATTGGTCTCGCCTACGACTCGCGACTGGTTTCGCCTACGACTCGCGACTGGTTTCGCCTACGACCCACCAATACTGGAGCCCTGGGAGAGGTCAGCGATTTCGAGTAGGTCCGTAGCTTGGAGCCACGCTGGAGGGGTACTGACTGTGAGTGATGAACGTCGTGAAGGCTAAAAAATGTTGCATAAAAACAGGAGGTTGGACCCAGGCTTGTCTGCAATGGTGACCGTTTGGCGGCAATATATGGAAAATTCGTCTTTACTCAATTTGAGGTGTAGAGGATTTCACTGTAGAAATAAAGCTACTAGAAAACTAGTATTTCAGACAGGCTCAGCCAATGTGGTGCCACGAAGATGTCGAGATTTCGCTACTGGAACGTTTCCCACCAGAATCTCAACCAATCATGGCCAGAGCAGAGTCAGCATGCGAGCCGCCATGGATTCACAGCCTGTTCCATGACCCAGCTGACGCAACGAACAACATTACCCAAGGAGGGCTGAAGCAAACCAGGGAGTGGAGGAGGATTCGCAGCAGAGGAGCAATCCAGGGTCGAGGTTTCATGGCTCGAGTGTCGAGTACCCAGCAGCCAACTGGAAAACCTTCAGCAAGGAGCAAGCTTCAGTGCTTTCGGCATTCTCAGTGTTGCACGGCAGCAAGCTTCCAACAACCCATGGCGTGCTGGCGCGCTCGGGCATGGAGCACCCACCTCTCTGGGGGCCTCTGCCACCCTCCCACCCTCGTGTGGTTGGGCACCGTGCCCCCTTGTGCGACCCTTTTAACCCGCCCTTCTTGCTCACAGCGTTGTGATCGCAACCCAAGCGCACCCAAAACGCACTCAACGGACCGTCGGAGCCCGAGAGGCTCTCCGTCCCCCTCCACTGCACGCTCACCGCCGCACGGCTGAGAGACGTCCATACCGCGTCACCTCCTTGACTCGCATCGCACTCTCCTTGCCGCTCATCCCGCGTTGCGATGGAGCTCTCTCAGGCCTCGGGTGCCGCCACGTGCACGGCCGTCGTGGTGACGTCAGCGCTTGTCGCCGCAGGAGTCGCCGCGTTCTCCAGCGGAGCGCTCTCGCGCACTGCGGCCGTCGTGACTGCGGGCGGCGCGGGGAAGGAGGCTACTAATTCCCGTTCCGACGCGGTTTCCACGAAAGCGTCGAAGGCGATGGACGGCGTTGTGGCGTGGCTGCCCGCGGAGATCGCCACGTCGCTCGACGACTTCCCCTTCTTCCTCAAGTCAGCTGCTTTCCCCTCCTGCCACTCGCCGGTGATTTATTTGCTAAGCAAGTCGTTGAATCTGACTGATGTTCGTGTGTCGTCTCGCAGCAAGAAGACGCGCGAGCTGCTCACGGCGTCGGCCGGGAGGACGTTCCTTCGCGAGGGCGCTTCGAAGCGGTCCCACTCCATCACCGTGCGAGGCCCCGAAGGTACCCCTCGCATCTCGCCGCAAATCGGAGCGTTTTCCGTGCTTGTCGTGTGCTTCCGCTTTATCTTGATCGTTTCGACGGCGTGACGGCGAGTGCCTGACGAGCAGCGGGTGTGCGGTGCTGTGCGGTGCTGTGCGGTGTGTAGGGTCGGTGCGGTACCAGGCGGAGCTGTGCAAGGGGCTCGCCAAGAAGTTCGACGCCGCCTTGTTCCTCCTCGATGGCTCCTTCGTGCACCTGCTCTCGCAGGTGCCTGGTTCCGTTCTTTCGTGCAGCGCCATTGTATCCGTCAAGGCTTCTTCTTTCTTTCAAAGTTGCAAATCTGAACGTCCGTGTGTGTGTGGCAGAGCTCGTACTGGCGGGGTGCGTCGAGCAGCCGCAGCAAGCCCGCGATCTGGACTGGAGGTGAGCATTCCGGTGCTTGATCACCTTGTGGGTGCTCCGTACACTGGACTCTACGTGCGGGGACATCACCGTGTTTGACGCTCACGCGTGACATGGAATCTCCTCATTGTCATGGCAGGATCGGGCTTCGCCTATTTCACGGAGAAAGGGGATGCAGCTGCCACGCTTCAGGTGAGCTACGAGTCAGCTCATCCAGCCTTTACTGTCGATCCATCCGAGACAGCTGTTGGTAAAAGAGATCTTTCTGAACGTCTCTTTTTACATTCTTCCGCAGGCCATCTCCAAGACCTCTCGTGCGCGCCCAGTGATCTGCCTGGTGGCGAGCGCGGATGGCTGTGCGGCAGCGCTGGCCCAGACCTTGGCGAAGCGGGTGGAGGGCCCCCATGGCGTGCTCGTCGTTGCCTCCTGCACTGCTGGCTGCGAGGTGAGCAGCGGAGATCCGTCTACCTGCCTGCTTTCGACCTGCTTTCAGGAGCTGTTGATTGCTCGTTCATGGATATGCCCTATGTGGCAACCAGCTCGCTCACCCATGTATGCGCGTTGATCTGCACAGGACGTGCATGCAGCATCTTACTCGGATGTGCAAGTGTGCGCTCCCAAGGTACGCCTGCCAGCCAGCTGATTGCGTTTTTTCATCATGCCTGACAATGTGTGTGCACTGACGAGTGGGTGTGTGATGGTTCCAGGAGAGTGAGAAGGTGCGGGCGTGGGAGGCGATGCTGAAGGAGCAGAGTCACTACATGGTATGCGAGCGGAACCTGCAGGCCATCTTCCTGGTGCGTGCGGGTATTGACAACCTGCGGCTATTCGTTTTCACAATACATCGTCCTTCTCAGGGGTGGTGGTACTCGTGCAACTAACCTAACCTCTGTCATACCTCTCTGTGAGTGCAGGCGCTCAAGGCCCGCAAGGTGACGTGGGACGAGGACGTTGCAGACGCGCGGTTCAACTTCACGGCCTCCCTTGCTCCCGATGGTACGCTGCGCTGCTCACCGTGCTCTCACATGTACCTATTGCCCTTCGATCGCTTCTGACGTTTGCTTGGTGTGCGAGGGCGTGCAGAGGTTGAGGACATGATCAACATGGCCCTGTCGGAGCAGATGCTTGCCGGCCGCACCAACGCACAGCTGCACGTCACACGGGACAGGTGCGCTGCTCTTTCTTCATGCCTTCACGCTGCTCATCCGTGGCCACAGCACCACACTTAACAGCGTACGACATTGTGCAGGCTGGAGTATTCTTTGAGTCTCTTCTTTGATGAGGATGGCGCGTGCCATGAGAAGACGGCCGTCACCAACGGCCAGGTACGATCTTCAATGCACTCAATGATTTGCGCCGAGTTTCATTGGTGCGACTTTTGAGAATTCTCAAAAGTCGCACTCATATCAAGCTAACTCATGCGTGCAGTGCAGGTGGTGCAGGGCAAGGAGCCAGTGGCGGTGCACAAGGCCGTGCTGCGAGTTGGCATCCCTAAGGCCGACGAGGGCGCAGGCTCCAAGGTGGGCACGCCCAGGGGCGATGCGGTGAAGACGCCTAGGGCAGCGGAGGCACTTGCTGCCAAGGTCGCCTCTCCCAAGGTGGCCACGCCTAAGAAGCCAGCTCCAGCCCCTGCCCCGGCAGCGGCATCTGTAAGTTCACAACAATCCCGCACTGCAGCGTGCTCCCTGCTCCCACCTCCTCCCTTCCAAGCTCGCATGGTTTTGCTAAGGTGGGGTTTCTTCTGCTGTGTGTGCCTGGGCAGGACGACAACGACTTTGAGAAGCGCATTCGCCCGGAGATCCTGGCGCCGGGGAGCATTGGAGTGACGTTTGAGTCCATCGGAGCGCTGGAGAGCGTGAAGGAGTCGCTGAGGGAGCTGGTGCTCGTGCCGCTCAAACACCCCGAGATCTTCAACAAGGGCGGCCTGCTGCAGGTGAGCACACAGCCTGCACTTTGTTCCTCCCCTTCTTTCACTTGGTTCAGCCTCGTTTGCGCTTTTCACGTGTAGTGCGTCTGACGCACGCTGCTTGCTGGTGGTGGCAGGCGTGCAAGGGCATTCTGCTGTTTGGTCCACCGGGCACGGGCAAGACGATGCTGGCCAAGGCGGTGGCCACCGAGTGTGGGGCGAGCTTCATCAACGTGTCCATGTCCACCATCACCTCCAAGGTGAGCGGCTCTTGTTTATTCTCTTCGTTAACGAAATTTGTAATTCGTAGTTAGCGCTCACTGATGTGATGGAAATGTGGTTGCGTGGCATGTGATTGCGCATGGTGCGTGGCATGTGATTGCGCATGGTGTGTGGCATGTGATTGCGCATGGTGTGTGGCGTGCAGTGGTTCGGCGAGGATGAGAAGAACGTGAGGGCGCTCTTCACCCTGGCGGAGAAGGTGGCGCCCACCGTCATCTTCATTGACGAGGTGCGCTCCCGCCCCATGCTCTTCTCACGCTCACGCACTTGCGAACCAACGTATTTACGCATGAACACATTCACCAGCCCTCGCCTCCACATCACACCCATTAGCTTTTCAATTGGCTGGGTTTGTGTCCGTTGGGCTGGTTCATGTTGAGCCGTTGGCTTGCTGCGCTGGCAGGTGGACAGCATGTTGGGGCAGCGCAAGGGGGCGGGGGAGCACGAGGCGATGAGGAAGATAAAGAACGAGTTCATGACGCACTGGGACGGGCTGGTCTCCAAGGCGGGCAGCCGTGTGCTCGTGCTGGCCGCCACCAACCGCCCCTTCGACCTCGACGAGGCCATCATCCGCCGCTTCCAGCGCCGGTCAGAACCATGTCTGTTGATCGTTCTGGATCTTAATCATTGTTACCTCGTGGATCCATAATTTCAACCTCAGCTTTCATTGTGTGTGCTGGCTCATCACTGACCTGTGGTGTGGTGTGGTGCGGCAGCATCATGGTGGGGCTGCCAGACACGGGCAACAGGGAGCTCATTCTGCGCTCCATCCTCAAGCACGAGCACGTGCACGCTGACGTGGACTACCGTGAGCTTGCGCAGCTCACTGAAGGCTTCTCTGGAAGTGACCTGAAGGTATGTCTCTTTCTGTGACTCGCCAAAGGCATTTGTGCACATTCCGTTCTTCCCTCAGTGCTAATGCAAGAGGGTTGTCCTGTATGGTGTTTTCGCAGACTCTCTGCACTGCGGCAGCTTATGGCGTATTGAGGGAGGCGCTTGCAGCAGCAGTAAGTGTAACGTCCACATCTTTTTGTATGCCCCCTTTCTGCACTGGCTGATCCCTGTGTGTATGTCTGTGCCCTCTTTTTTCAGGATGGCAGTGCTAGCGAGGAGGCATTGGAGCTGAGGCCGCTGACGTTGGAGGACTTCCGTGAGGGCAAGAACCAGGCAAGCTGTGTCATGGGTATTGTTTCCCACCTGCACTTACAACATTCACGCATGGCTAAGATGATGCTGCTGTGTGTGTGTGCTGCAGGTGTCGGCCAGTGTGGCTGGTGAGGCGCAAAGCATGCAAGAGCTCAAGGAGTGGAATAACCTCTATGGGGAGGGTGGGAACCGAAAAAAGGCTACTCTTTCGTACTTTCTGTGATTGTACGGCATTTGTCTAGTAACAGTTCTCTGATACTGGTTCGTAGTGAAAGCCATGTTTTACCGGTATATGGGGTTAAAATGGTACTGGACCAATTTTGTGCCTAGCTGTGTAGGTATGGCATCCAACACTTCAATTCCTTAGGGCGCGTTGTTGGGCTGAGAAAGCCCTTTAGGATCTTTGCAGGACAGAATTCAAGAGTATGATGATGTAGCGGAAGCGTTTAATAAGGGATTGTGAACCACCTTGCGCTTGTATGTGAGGGCAAAGTAAGTTGATTAAACAAAAGAGATACAAGCTTTTATAAGAATACAGAGAATATGAAGAGATACGGTTACTAACTGTTTTACTGTTGCTGTTGCGGTTCGATACAGTGTCGACTCGGGCAACTGCTCAGTATCGAGACAATTGTTTGTCCTTGCTGTCGCGCTGCATTTGTCAGGTCAAAGGTCGCTGACCTTTGACTTTCGCGTAACCTCCAACAGTTATTCAACCTCCGAGGGTTGACTCACCGATGTTTCGATACGATCTGCTTTGCTTCTGTCTTGGTGTTTCGACACGACAGAGGCGCTTAAATCAGTTGTTTCCAACACTCCCCTTCGCTTCTGGAGTGTCGCTGCAGGTGACGTGGCTCTGTCCAGTCAGCAGCATGCAATATTCGAACTTCGACTTTCCGAGCTTCTTGGTCAAGTAATCAGCTGCCATCTCAGATGTGGGACAGTAAGACAGCTCAAGTCTTCCCTTCTCGATCTCGTCCTTTACGAAGAAATATCGCAGGGCGATATGTTTCGTCCTGTTCGCGAATCCATTTTTGTTGGCGATGCGAATTGCCGACTGGTTGTCGCAAAATAGGGAGAAGCTGGGTAACTGGGCCAGCTTCGCTTCCTCCAGAAGTTCGCGAAGATACAGTCCTTCCTTGGTGGCTGAGCAGAGTGCGATGTATTCAGCTTCAGCTGAGGAGAGAGCGATTAATTCTTGTTTGCTCGACTGCCACGAAATAGGTCCGATAGGCTCGAGGCGGTAGATGTAGCCTGTGCGCGAGCGCCTGTTGTTAGAATCTCCGGCGTGGTCGGCGTCGACGTAGCCGATTAGCTTGGGCGTTGTAGTTATGTTCTTGTAGTAGATCAGGCCGATCGTCGGAGTGCTTACGAGGTAGTGTAGAGCGCGATCGAGTTCCTTCATGTGTTGGTCTTCAGGCCTTTTGAGGTAGGTGGCGAGTTGACTTGCTGAGTATGATAGGTCTGGACGGCAGGTGACGGCCGCGAAGAGAAGGCATCCTAGCTTTCTCTGGTAGTTGCGTATGTCGGCGGGTTTCAGTGGAGCAGATTCTGCCTTGTCATTTCCTGCCGTGTAGCGGTATGGCGTGGAGATGGTAGTTGGTGTGAGTGCGAACCGTTTGGCGATGGTGTCGGCATACTTTGCGGTGTTGAGATAGATCGCGTTTTCTCCTTCTTGGATGTTGAGACCGAGGTATTGCGTGACGGTAGATGAAACCGTGAGCGTAAGTTCTCTCTGTAACTCCCCTTCGAACCAGGTAGTAACGTTGTCGGTCGACCCGATGTAAAGCAGATCGTCTACGTAGACAATCAGTAGAATGTAGTCGTCGTCTTTCGTGAATCGGTACATGCCTTGGTCGTGCGGCAGCTGCTTGAATCCGATGCGAGTGAGCCGAGCGTGTAAGTACTGCTGCCACAATCTCGGGGCTTGTTTAATCCCGTACAGAGATTTTTGCAGCTGACAGACTTGATTGGGCTCTCCGTGAGAACCATGTGGGAGTTCGACGTAGATTTCTGCGTCGACGGGTGCGTAGAGAAAAGCATTGGCGACGTCGATTTGCCGCAGTTTCTTCTTTTTCATAGCGGCGACCGCGAGAAGAATTCGTAGTGAAGTATGTCGACTAACCGGTGCGAATGTCTCAGTGAAATCGCGTCCGTGCTCTTGGTCGAAGCCACGTACGACCCAGCGTGCCTTGAACTTGTCGATGGTGCCATCTGCTTTCGTCTTCACACGGAAGACCCACTTCCCGGTGAGTATCGTCTTGTTTCGTGCCACGCCGATAGGAACAACCTTCCAGGTGTTGCGCTCCTGTATTGCTTTCAGTTCCTTGTCCATGGCTTCACGCCATTTTTCCCTATGCTCCCCCCCCAGAGCCTGCTGAACTGTGGCAGGCTCCTTAGGAGGATCCGTGCCGTGGACCGCGGTGACGAGACCAAGTATCTGAAGGCCACTCTGTGTGTAGCGGGGGAGTGTTGTGTCCGCGGGATAAGCTGCTTCGTCACCTGCTTCTGGGTCAGGTATGAAATTGGCCCCTATGCGTTCTGCTTCGTTGGTGTTAACTTCTGCAGGTGTAACGTAACCAGTGTCGGCGAGGTCGAAATAAGTTTCGGCGTTGACGCTTTCGCGAGGATTTTCTTCGTCCATCGGGATAGGCACGGAGCAGTAAGGGAGTGGTCCTGCTTCGTCTGAGGCGTTATCCACATTCTGCTCGTCCCAGTCAGCTTCGTCTGCTGCCGAGGTGAAGTGTCGGTCACCACGGAAGCCACCTGTGGGATCCCGATCTTCTTCTAAGTTGGCAAGGTATGTCGGAAGGGTGAGTCGTTCGTAGAAAATGACATCACGTGCTGCTACTGTATCTTTGGAGTGGACGTCGAAAATCTTCCACGCGTTGTAATTTCTTTCGATGCCCAGGTGTAGTCCCCACTGTGCTCGTTGGGAAAATCGGCCGGCTCGTGCAGATGGGGGTCGGTACTGTACCATGCAGCCGAAAACTCTTAACATTTTTGTGCTGCCCTGTTTTCCTGTCCACAGCAGATGCGGTGATGCGTTGTTCGGTAGTGACGACGACGAAATCAAGTTGTGCAGCATGACAGCGTGGTCCATCGCTTTAGGCCACTGGTGATCGGGCAGTCGCATGCTACGCAGTAATTTGCGCATGGTGTTCTGGAGAGTTCGATTCATCCGTTCCGCCACGCCTTGCTGTTTGTGGGCGTAAGGAAGCGAGATGAGCCTCTTGATTCCCTTTTCTGCCAAGAACTGCTTGAACCTCTGTGAGGTGTATTCTCCTCCTCCGTCTGACTGAAAGCTTTTCATTTTCTCGCCTGATTCTCGTTCTGCTACTGGGAGCCAAGCGATGAAGGCTTCGAAAGCCATGTCCTTGCTCGGGAGATTAAGGTGCCAGACGTAACGTGTAGCGGCATCGATGAACGTGATGGTGTAGCTGTATGCTCCTTGTCCGGGTTCGCGATTGTACAGGATGTCGCTGTACACCTTTTCAAGTGGTGCGTAAGCTGGTGCGCTGGGGTTGTGGTGAGAAGTGAAAGGTCGATGCGGTAAGTCAGCTTCGGGGCAGGTAAAACACGTTCCTCGCGCTCGTCGAAGTTCACTTCCGTCGGTTAGAAGCAGTGAGTCTTTGTCGAGGACGCCTGCTCTTATTGTGTTGTTTAACACTGTATTGCTTGGATGTCCCATTCGTGCGTGCCTGATGTCTTCGCTAGCGCGATGTCCGGGTGAACGACGATACAGGTCGGAGTTGGAGTGAAAGGCGGCGGTGAAGTTTGCGCTTCTGTGAACTTCGCGAGGAGTGGGAGTTAGCTGCTGCACAGGAGTCGGTGAAGTATTGTCGATGTGTGGCGATGTCGTTGAAGAACTTGCGACTGGTGTTGTAAGTGTTGTTGGTATTTCCGATGGTTCTGCTGCTGCCGATGTTGTCTCTGCTACTGCCGATGTTGTCTCTGCTGCTGCTGATGTTGTTTCTGCTGCTGCCGAGTGTTGAATCGTTGCTAAAGCTCTTGTTCGTTCTGCCTCAGGGATGGTGTGCGAGTACCAGAAGCCTTCTGGACTGAAGTCGGGGTCAAGATCCGGTGGATGTGTCCAAGAGGTGAAGGTGACAATCCCGTCGCTGTCGGCAGTGCCGAGATCTGGAACAAAGTCGAGGACGAAGACATTGTTTTTTAGGACTGCTTTGCCGATGTAGAGTCCTCCTCGACCGTGGAAGAGCTTGAACTCCTGTGTGATGCTGTCTGCCTCGAGGTGTATGCCCTTCGCCATCAGCTGACTGGCGCTCAGTAGGTTGTAACCGAGTCCTTCTGCTATCAAAACCTTTGACATCTGCAGTATGACGTTTGTTTCTCGTGACTGAAGTTGCACTACGCCTTGTCGTTGTGTGCGCAGGTTCTGATTGTTGGCGACGGTGATGACGACTTCACGTTGAAGTTGGTGTTCACGTTGAACAAAGCGTCCTGAGGAGCACATATGTTGTCCACAGCAACTGTCCAAGAACCACGTATCCTTCCCGGATGGCTCGCTTTGAGCGATGGCTGCGTACGTTGGGTTTGGTTGAAGTGACTCGCGGCGAGGCGTGCTGTTATCGAGTTGTTCTTCCGGTGAGTAATGTGGTGGAGACTCGGTGATGCAGGAATCGGTCAGCCGTGTCATGCAACTGACGATGTTTCTTGTTTCTTGCGCAGGTTGTCCTGTCGATGTTGTTGAGACTTGTACTTGAGATGTCGGATTTGCTTGCGTTGAGGTGACTTGACTGCTTGAAGGCCGAAGCTGCCGCTACGTTGATACTGACTGTTGTCGGTTAGGGCAGTGTGAGCGAGGATGCCCTGACATCTTGCAAAGGTGACAGAACGGAGGCACTGATTTCGGTTGATGCCGATTGTTGTTGTTGTAGCGTCGTTGAGTGTGGAATGCAAATTCGGGCACTGATGCCTTCTTCTTGTGTCGTTCCTCTTGCAGGTCCATGTCTTGCTGCTCAGCATGGATTTCGGCGCAGAGTGCTGCTTTTGATATCTTTCCATGCGCTCGGAGTATGGCGCGGGTGGAGCGCCACTGAGGACCGAGGCCGCCGATGATGACTGTGACGAAGGCGTCTTCTGAAATCGATCCTCCGCATCGAAGGAGTTTGTCGCGCAATTCGCGACAACGGCTGATATACGCCATTCCTTTTTCGCCTGGTTTCATTTCGACTGTCGTCAGTTGCGCCATTAACCGACTTT